TAAGGAACTACGCTTTTAGTAGGGCTCTTCCCTTTTCATGTCTTTTGCCGTTGCTAACTACTATTTAGACAAGCGATGAGCAAGATGTCAACGATACCTCCAGCAACCCGTTCGGAAGCAAATTCTAGATCTCCTTTCGAATCTCCTATATTCTTTCAGCCCTGCATGCGGCAGATGTTTGGTCTTATACGCCCGCGAGATCGGTGCACTCAACTTTGAATTTGAACTTTTGGCTTGTGGCAAGGAAATCAGGATTGGGTGTGGTTCTGCAGCGCCTTTGCGATACTGGATTTCAGGGAGGTGGAGCACAGAAGAAGACTACGGAGCTGAGCATGGAATCAAGACTCATATGGATCCAGGGCGTTATCGGGTTTGAAGATAATCCCCATCTAGGAAGATATAATTCCCTAAGACAAATAGGAAATCGTGTGCAGGGTACTCGTCAATTGTCCTCTAACTTTGGAAGAACTTGTTGTGAGCAGCATTAAAATCAATATTCAAAAATGAAATTCCAAATGACATCTCCACATACTTTTTTCACGGCTTTTAAGCAATACTTCTTGAGATCTATGTGAAGAATGTGGTAATAGAATCATAGAGAGCATTACAATTAAACCTGCACTAGCAGCTGTTGGGGCTTGATACACTTGTGATACCTCATCAATATATACGGCGTTGAATGAAGCCAAGTCTTCTAGTACAAGAATTCAAAAGTTATCCATATCCGAGTTATTAAAAAGTAAACATCTAGTGATGTATTTCCCTTGTATCGTTAAGGTTACCGACCCAAAATAAGGTGGGGGCTGTCAGAGGCTGAAAATCTGACATCAGAAAATTGCCCCGATACTTCAAAACGATCCTTCAGCGGTAACCATCCCTATAATCCACGGCGGTACTCTGCCCCCTTTTTCGTAGTAGCGAATCAATCAACTAATTAAAAGCCATGGATCAGTTCTGTAACCGCCGCAAGGGAATTATCTGTACTGTTCGTGCCGGGTAGGTATTTTTGACGTCAATCCTTCACTTAGAGCAGTAATCCAGAATACAAATAGATATTTCGTGTTTCCGCGTTAAAACGGTCTGAATCTCTTTTACTTTTTCTGCTTTCGAGTCTTTTGATTTTGCACTCACAATCACACGATGCGATCAATTGATTGCTGGTGAATCTTTTCACATTTTGCGTGACACATTACAATCGTTAATAATGCTTCAAATTGTTACTCTCGTTTTTATTGGTTGGCTCGTGGGATTGGTGGAGGGACAATGCTATAGTTACGAGGGAGTTGAGATGGATCCGACATACAAGCCATGTAATGGTTCCGCACCCGTCAGCATGTGCTGTCATCTGGGAGTCATCAACAACGGAGGAGATGAGTGTGGCTCTGGATCTACGTACGGTCTTTGTGGTATAAGTGGGACGCAACTTTGGAGAGAGTCGTGTACGGACAAGACATGGCAGTCTCCATTGTGTTTGCGATTGTGTGTTGGAGGTATGGACTCTCTGATGTATAGTATACACTGTAGCAAGGAATTGTAGCTGATGAGTCTGGTATGTAGCAAACGATACTGAGATCACGGCATGTCCAAATGGTAGTTATTGCTGCGGGAAGAATGCGGCCGATTGTTGCAACGCGAATGAAGGAAAATTCATAGTCAATAACCAAGTCTCGGATACAGCAGCGGGGGATTCTTTGAGCTCTCAAACTTCCCAAACTACAGCTAAATCTTCAACGCCAATCAGCATACAAGCATCGAAATTTATGTCATCTACTACTTCTGGGATACCATCAGCTGAAGTCCAAACAAGCACCGCCCAAACATCAGTCTTAATCTCAACAGTGTACCAACCCCTACCGTCATCAACCTCGACGACCTCCTCCTCAGATACAACACAGTCTTTATCAATAGGCGCAAGAGCTGGGATAGGAGCAGGTGCTGGGGCCTTCATTTTGCTAATATCTTTATTCGCGTTATTATGGTGGAAGCGAAAGCACCCCAGGAGTAATTTGGCTGAACTTCCAGCTACAGAAACCAAGCCAACATTCTTCAACCCCAGAGGGAGATTGAGGCATGTAGATATAGTGGAAGCGGATAGTACAACGTCAAGGGCAGTGGAAGTTCATGGACACGAACGGCGAATCGAGCCTACGGAGATGCTGTGAATTTAGTCCCTCGGATGAAAGACCTATCCTTGGGTGAGGATGGTGTGGTTAATCAGGGTTCTCCATGAACGAATTGAAAATAGATATCATTGATTCTCATCAAATTATAATAGTAGGAATAGTTTGTTCCCCGGCACCTCTGTCTGACAAGAAGAGAAGTAACAATGATGCTGTCCATTTTGGTGTTCTGTTTCGAGAAAGGAAGGAACGCCCACTAGCGCGACCATAACCCCCCCTTCAAACTGAAAATTCTTTCTAGGCTTCTGTCTTCTTCTTTTTAACAAACACAGTACGCAGTACTCAATGGAGAGTCCATGGATTGTTGTCTGATATACATATAAATGATATTGATTACCATGCCGCCCATTGAGACATAATGACACCTGATCGATCCTCACAATATACTGGATATTTTTCCAATTCATGGGATCCGCTAAACAATTTCCGATGCAAACGATGGCCCAGGCGATGACATAGCAATTCCAGATAGGCATCTGCGCTCAGCGTTCTCTATCATCCTGTCGACACTACCATCGATCCAAGATGGTGAATTCCCTGTCCATAAGCCCACCAACCTTCTATACTTCACCAGCAATCGATTAATCTTGCTTTTCTCCTGAGCCGCTAGAGCTTCATTCCATTCAAGGATTTCCAGCGAGTATTTGTAAAAGGATATATCAACATCGACTTCCTGATTGCGAAAATCCTTCAAAATATCAACGTATTGTTTACGTAAACATTTTGCATCATCAATTTTAGCGATAGTGAGTGGCTTCAATGCTTCGAGTCGATTCTTATAGTCCTGAAGTAGTTCTTCGCCCATAACAGCAAGAGCACAGAGATGGAAAACCGAGCCTGGCTCTGCGATAAATCCAGACGACGCATCCACAAGATTGTCTTTCACCGTTTGCCATTGATCCACGTATCTAGTAGAACCCCAAATTACACTCCAGATACTCTGTGATGGCGATACGTTGTGTAGAATCGAAGCTTTAAGAAACGCTTTGGTCAAAGTGATACGCTCTGGAAAAGGAACGTTTTCGTCGATAGTTTTGAAATAGTTACCGCCGGTGAGAGAGGAGCCGAGTAGGTTCTTGCAATGATTAGGATTATCTAACCATGAAATGGCACAGGCCATATATTCCCCATCCGATTGCCATTTCTGTAACAAAGGTTCGAAGACATGTTCGGCAGGATATAAAGTATGGATCAAAGGAAGTAGCTCCGAAAGTCTCATGGGCCGTGAAGGAATGGATATTTCTGGAGCCCGACCTCTCGCGGGACTGTAGGGCATTGAAGGGATGCAGTAGCCATGTTGAGGTATATCGGGAGAGCTTTGAGGATCGGATGATGATGATAACAGATTAGTGCTGTGTGCCGAATTGTTCCAAATACAAGATTGAGTAGGATATTCATTCATGAGTGTATCCGTAAAGCTATGCGGGTGGGGTTGATTATCGTTCAACAATAGGAAGAAATCGGCATCTTTCAGATCGTCTTCAGTAAGTTCCGGTTCAACAGAGGAAGTCGATTGTGGATCTCGGGAACATCGGGCGCCACATTTGTTGTTTGATTTGTATTTTTTGATTCCCCATTCGCGAAGCATCATTCGGTACATGCGAATACTAGAAACAAATGTTTAGCATTCTAAAAGACACATCGGAGGAGAGAATTATTGTTCGACTCACCTTGCACCAAATCCGCGAGTCGATATTAAAGTTTCCCTAACTTGTTCCAACGTTTGCCCTTCTGTCACGTAGAGCTGCTCCAGCTCTTCCTTTATGCTTGCCCAGTCCTTTGGCATTGCCGCGGTTTATTCATTTGATACGTACAGGCCTTTGATGATGTAGAATCGATTCGATTCGAGTTTCCATTTTGCTGGACTTTTCAGATATTGAATGGGTCAAACCGCTCATAATAATAATGATTGAGAGGAACATCAGATAGGCAAAAGGAGCCGCAGCCTCGTCTCGAGTGAGTGGCGTGGCGAATCATTCCTGTGTCATTCATTCATCGCTGTCTGTTACTGTTGACGCGTTCCGTTTGTTGCGCAGTCCGCCAAGTGTCACGCTGCTTCCCTGTTTCCGATGATGATATAAGCGGACACCTTTTGACCTCGCCACCACGGTGTGAAGTATTTGTTTTATTACATGCTAGTAAAGTGCTGATGTTAGGCGGTTTTCCGCTACTTCACAGAAGAAAGATTCTAGAAAGTGCTAGATATCCACGAAAGTGCAATTGCACTTTCGAGAACACAAGCTCTTTGTGTATGCTTGTACATGCGAATCGTACAAGAGGGAGTGTGTTATTGGCTCGTTTACCCTCCTGGCTCTCTGTTATAATTGAAGATCATAATTACCGCAGTCATCCGCGATCCGTTTCCCCCAAGTTCTGATTGTGAGCACTGAGCACCAATCACCAGATAATCTCATGATGTTTATTAGTTTTACTATGAAGTTCGGAGTATGAGGTTGAGTTTTTGCTGCTCTCCACGGGTTTGTTAGATAACTATTCTCCGCCCGAATCAGCCAAGAGATCCTTCGATTTATTTATCACAGAAATATTGAATCCGAATGTCGTGGCGAGTGACGATTCAGTAGGCAAAATGAAGCGTTGCCCTTTTTGCGGATTGCACTTTCAAAAATGCGAACTATTTCACATTTGCAAAGTGCAAAACGGATTCGTATGTTGAATTGCATTAAGTAGTACTCAAATCCTCAAGATGTTAATTCTCTATTCAATAACGTTGTGCTTTCAATGCGAAGAAAGCTCCTCGCAAATCGAGAATCTCAGCAGCGATTTCTGTTCAAACAAATTGAAGTTGTCAGTTTCTCAGAAATGGCCCCCAAGAACTCGGGACACAGAAGTGATCTTCGCCGATATCAAGCAAGGTATGTATCTTATCAAATATTTGTTACATGACCTCGGCACAGCTTCACAACTTTTAGTCTAACTAGAACTGCAGCACTCATGGGGTTAAGCAACAACACTCATCATCTCAATCAATCGACCATTCCTCGATCGACACTGTTCGTCAAACACCACACATTGTACACACAACCGCCTCAAACACTCAAATCCATCCACAAATTTTGAACCATGAGACCCTTAATCAACACACTATTCACCAAGCCCAGCTAACCCAAAATCCATATCATACGCACGTTATCTTACAAAACGAGATCCGGACCCTCCAGAATGGGTTCAGTTCCCTTGGTGTCGACGTCCCATTTGATCTTTATCAAAGTAAAATAGGCGGATACCACGCCTACAGTGATGGGATAGAGAGTACTCCTCGGCAGTATTTCACTGCCGACAATCCATACGACCCCCAAAGCCAATCATACACTCCGATTCCGATCTCCACACAACCTCATCCGGTATCCCACGGATACTCGACTCAATACCTCGCCCCCGCGAGCACAGCCTCACTCACTGTCCAGCCCACAGAAGATGAATGTACATGGTTCAAAATAAGTCATGGGCACGATAACAACGAGCAAGATGTGATGGGTTCGAGCAATGAGCTGCATGGTACAGGAGCTCAATTCCAAGTCTCTTCACATGATGTTCCACGATGCTTTGCTTCGGTCTCTCAATTGGAGATGGATACAATGGAAGAATCATCATCACCTACCACTTGAAGAAAGATAGAACTTTTGATGAGGTGTTGCAATCGAATAGAATTGGTTTAGATTTTGAAAAGGCAAAAGTTTGGATCCAGGTGACAGGGGAGATACTAGACGGGCTAGTTCTCTGAGGGTTTGAGCGACCAACGTTTCAGGCTTGGGACGTTTTTATAAAACATGATATGATAGATAGTGTAGATGTGATGATAAACGGACATAGGAATGGTAGCAACAACACATCTCCTGACATCCGAATTTGCAGCAAGATCATGTGATATCAACTAAATTGTCATGCTTTTTGTGATCATACAAAACTTCAAACTTCTTCACTGAGTTACGCTGCGCCGAACTCTCAAAGCGCAATTACAACCACGCCACGTTTGTCAATTGGGCAGATTACTCATTGTCCTGGAACAGAAAACAACCGAAATCGCACTTTGCCAATCAGTTGATCCCGTACAGCGAGGGACAAACTCTAATAGACCCTTGTTTCTAAGAACAAAAATGGTGTGGCTGAACCCCCATCCTTGTACCATACACCGATCAGTCACAAAGTGGCAGGACTGTTCATGCGAGCATGCATACTGGAAATGCGAAAAAGCACATGAATGACATGATTGGGGATCGTATTCGTGCCAGCCACAACATAAAAATTTACCAAACGGGGTTCGATGTGGCTCGTTTTCAATCCTTTTCAATTGGCTGCTGTGCCAGGAGACCGAGTGACCAGTATGCATCTAAAATCAACGGAGCGCCGGAAAGATTACAACGATGGGTAAAAGTCTAACCCTCTCGGCCGCTTGTGTATTCTGCTTCGAAGTTTATTATTATCAAGCTCAAAGAAGGAGAAATGCTTCCAATTCCAATACATTCATTCACATCAAAATGCCAGAAGGTGGGCATGGCGGGGTAACTTTATTAATCCTTAGCGCTGGAACTTAGTGTTCTCTCGGCGCTTAGCCTGTTTTGAATTAACTCCCCTCTCTGAAATGATTTGTCGAATAGAAAATAATAATAAAACATACCAAGCGCCTCATAACAAATCAATCAGTCTTTCCTAGAGCGCAACGCTTGAAGTATTTCTCATGAAGAAACTTCCTCGATCTCTTGAAGTTTCATTTTCATGGATCCGGAAGCCGCTGAAGAAATGCGACAGACCTCTAGGTTTGAAGAATCACTGCCAATTGCAAAATGAACGGATCAACGACCGATGAATTACTTTGATCTCAAAGCGCTATAGAGAGCGAATGATGGGGTGATGAACTGTACAACTAAAAACACGATTTAACCTCAAAGGCGCCAAAAGTGATGGTCGAAGTAGCAGCCGGCGACTTTGTCGTCCAAAGTAGCTAGAATTGAGTATTGGCTAACAACGCGCTGATCTCTGGGAATTTACCCAAGAGCGCGACGCCGAAGGGACGGTTCAATGTTATATTGAAGATTTTGGCACTAAATCACCACTACGCCGCACAAGTGCCGGTGGGTTCGACGCTATAAACATGTGATGCGAACTTTTCTGAAGGAATGCATAATTCCTTCACTGGTGAAGTAAATAGATTGCAACGTTCTTATCTCGTGGGGGGCAGCACTCCGTGTTCACAAACCCCATAAAAAATTCATTATTCACCATCACCAAACTCCCACTTTTCCAAATTGAGCGCCAATTTACAATTCAGCGCATAGGAATGTTTTCGTTATCCAGTATGCATCTTGCACAATTGGACGAATCTTTTTTATCGTTGCCATTGTTTACTGGAGTGAGTTAATTGTAGAAATGTTAACCGCTGAGTGGAGGCGGTTACCCCTCTAGGTTCCCAGTGACAAACTCCAGTAATCTTCGATTGCCATGCTTTCATGCACGTCATGTATGACACTCGTGGAAACCATTGAGCGCGCTTCCCCACTATGCAAATTGTACCTATCAACAAGACAATATCACATCAATATCAGATACACTATGGGCCAATAGTTTTTCGTCGCAGGGTGAGCAGGAGAAATATATATCTCCCCATTTGCTCTTTCGAACAAACACAAAAATCCCAGAATATCAAAGATACAGGAATTGTACTTCGTCAAATATCATCCGCAACCATGCAGAACACATTCGAACATCATAAAACCGAAATCAAGCATCTGTTCTTCTCGGAACATTTGACTCTGTCTGCAATTCAAGAAATCATGAGGAAGAAATACGACTTCAACGCATCGTGAGTTGAACTATCGTTGACGTATGTGAACAAACGCTGACAGTTCACAGAATATCGGCATACAAGACCAAGCTTGCTGAGTGGAATATGTTTATTCCACTCTCAAACAATACCAAAATTTTGAAGAATCGACTTCTTTTGGGTAACAGAAAACGACCCGAGCGCCTATATAACATCTCGAGGCCTACTCCACGCTCTGTTCCCTTGACACCTCCGTTGAGCCCTCCGGTATTGAAGCATCAAAATGGGAATACTCGCATCAAGCAAGAACGAGTCGCCCCTTGTTCTATATCTTTAGTCGTCCACTCGGGCGAGAAGAAATCGAGGGAGTCCTTCTATCAAGAGGAATACATCGTCATCCTTGCAGAACTTCGCGGAAGACTTGGAGCTGCACTTGGCCGAGAATCGGGTTGAAGGAATTCAAGCACGTAAAGAGTCACCAAAAGAAACCATGAGTTTGTAGCAACGCAAGCCAAGCATACATGTAGGGGGAGAGAAGGGAAACCCGATGCAAGTGGGCAAGGGCACGAGGTAGGGAGGAGCATAAGACTTTCGCCAAGAAGACTGAAATGAAGAGAATGCATGTTCATCGTGGAAGGCATAATACGTGAAGGGGCGGTTGTGATACGATGATCATGTAGGCGATTGGGGATATCATTTTAGCTCATAGCTCCTAGTTCAGGATTTGTCTAACCAGATACCTCCTCAGAAGAGGACTTCAAATACCTTCTCAGAGGGGGACTTCATTTCCAGATAGACAGCCTTAGGCCCTTCAAGGAGAAACACCTCTAAAAGAAAATGGAAACCATTTTACAAGCGTCTAAGAATGTCCTCAACAACCTCTGTTGTCGTAGCTTTGCCACCAAGGTCAGGGCTTAGCAACTTGCCTTCCTCCAAATTGCCGTCAACAGCAGCGTAGATCTTAGCGGCGGCGGCCTCCTCCTCAAGGAACTCCAACATAAGAGCAACACTTCGCAAGGTGGCAATTGGGTTTGCAATGTTTTGTCCCATGATATCAGGAGCACTACCATGACATGGCTCACCAATAGCAAATCCTTCACCAACATTGGCACTTGGAACGAGACCCAAGGAGCCAACGAGAGCGGCAGCTCCATCGGACAAGATATCTCCATAAAGGTTTGGTGCGACGATAACGTCGTAGGTCTCGGGTTGACGGAACAGTTTGTAAACCATAGAATCGACGATTTGCTCCTCTACACCAACGCTCGAGAATTTTGAGAGAGCCAATGCCTCCCTGGCAGTGGATCGGAAAAGGCCATCCGTCTGACTCAGAACATTCGATTTGTGTGTAATGGTGACCAATGGTGACTTGTGAATGCTTGCAACTCCACTATCTCTAAGCTTCTGTCTGCGTAATGCGATGTCTCCGGCCATTGTAGCAATTCTGGACGAAGCTCTCTCGGAGATTCTCTTGATTGCTTCCGCGACCTTTCCACTCCCATCAACAGCATCATATGTTCTCTCTTCCTTGACATAGAGATCCTCGGTGTTCTCTCTCACAATGACCATATCAATTGGGTTGGCAGCTGTCATAACACTTTTGACGGGTCTAACATTTGCGTAAAGGTCGAGACGCTTGCGGAGTGCGACAATTGGGGAGGAATAGCCCTTGACAGCTTTTGAAGGAGAACTGACTGCACCAAACAAAGCTCCATCACACTCAGTTTTAAGAATTTCGACGGTCTTATCTGGCAGAGCAGCCCCGGTTTCTTCGAAGGTTTGAAATCCAGCTTTCAAGTCCACAAACTCAAACTTCAATTTGAGGGAAGCTGGTAAGGCTTCAAGAATTCTTCTTCCTGCTGGAATTACTTCTTTGCCAATTCCATCACCAGGAATGAGACCTTAAAGAGCCAGTGAAAGGTTAGTTTTTGTTTCAAAATATCAATTGATTTAAAAGTAAAAAAATACGCATATTTAAATTCCTTCTTACCTATCCTCAAAGTTCTGGAAGCCATGGTTTTTGACTTTGTTGACTTCTTGGTTTGCTTTGACCAAACTTTTGAATGGATTGTGGTGGTGGTGTGTGGTGGGTGGGATTCCCCAAAAGTTGACACTAACTTGCGAGATCGGTCTCCAGTGAATCTTTTGACCCGACCCTCGGATCATCGTCTCGGCTATTCACACACTCGAATTAAGTGTGTCTTGTCTATTATCACACCTGTCGAACACAAACAAACATTCATTCCCCTTTTATTTATTCACACACACCTCTTTTTCCGAAACCCCCTCCCCCTCGTGTCTAGCTAGATACACAGTAGGGTAGGTAGATACCTAGATGAACGTCTAGTAGATCCGTGGATGGTAGATAGATAGTAGATGGTAGATACCTTTTCAGAATTCTCTACACTCTCTTGTCTCTGTCTGACTAGATGGGACTGTATCGTCAAGTCTATCTTCATCAATAGTACTTATCTACACCTGCTTAGTAGCCGCCAACACATATCTACCTCCCTCCGCTGTAGATGATTCTCTGAATGCAGATTTGTCCTGATTCGCACCCAGATACCTAGTACTACCCACCTGCAGGTAGGTATGTATGTATACTCCGTCGATGTATGTGTCTATGTGTGTATGTGCGGTGTATATTGTTCTATATTTCCCTCATACTCTTTAGTGTCTATTCAAAGTTTCAAATACTGAATGCACGAATGCACGAATGCACAACCCATATATCATCACCTCCATCACCTACCGAGCCCCCATGTAAATTGCAATAATTCTCTTCTCTCGAACCATTTCGAATCATTCATGGAATGTTTCACTTCGCTTCAAAGCCCAATCAAAAAG